TGCTCAACCAAGACGGCGACGCTGTTTACGTTAGAAACGTGAGGACGGCGCAGGAGGAATCGGAGGATTAACAGCAGCGGGGAAGGAGGACAAGGAGGAGGATGACGAGGAAACGGAGGAGGGGCGGGATGAGGACGAGGAGTAGGAAAAGGAATGATGGGAGAGAAAAAGTCACGACGACGGCCAGAATCAATCATGGAGGATTTTGTTTGTTTTTCGCACACGGCTCTTGTTAGAAGCCCCTTGGGGTGATTTGTGGGCCATTGTGGAGCTAATTTGGAGCCATTTTGGGAGAGCCTACGGGGTCCTCTTGAGGCTGTTTCGGGCCTCCTTGGGATCCTCTTCGGGGTCTCGTGGGCCCGTCTTGGAGGCCTTGGGGGCCCTCTCGGGGCCATCTTGGAAACGCCGTCAGTCAAAGAGTACGGGGGGGGGGTCCTTGCAGCGCCCCCTCTCTGGAGCCGCCCACGTCGCCTCTTGGCGCTCTCTTGGGGCGTTCTTCGGCTGCTCTTGAGCGCTCTCGGCGCCGTCTTGGGGCCTGTCGGGTTCTTCTGGAGGGCCATCTCAGGCCAGCGCGGCCATCTCGAGGCCTCAAGAGCCCATGGAAAACGAAAAGGCGACGAGACATAACACATAGCACGCAATGGTTTTCATTTTTTTTGTCTTGGAGGCCTCCTTGGAGAGCTCGAAGGGCACGCGGGGCCGTCTTGAAGCGGTCTTGACGACTCTCAGAGGCATGTTGGAGGCTATTCGGAATCGTCCTGGGATGCATTGAGCGATATTGGAGGCGTATCTGGGCTCCTTGCAGCCATCTCGGATACATTTTGGGCCGTATTGGGCGCTCCAACGACCCGCGGCTACCTTCCCGCGCATGAAGGATTGGGCGGGGAAATGGGGAACCGTGTCCATGAAGGGGAAGAGTGGGCTTGGATGAATTACTTCGTCACGCCGCTCACGCTTAAAGGGGTGCTGGGATTCCTGTCTCCCTCCGGCCCTCTCCTGCGGCGTGCCCCCCCACTCCCTGTGACTTCTCCCCCCCCTCCCCCCCCCCTTCCAGGCTCCGCGCGCGGCCGAGTGAAAACTTCGGGAGGAAAAACAACAACTCGTTTTGAATGCCTCTCCGAATTCTTGGTGGATTTTTCCTTGGGCGCGCGCATCGAAAAAACGCGCGCGGAAAAATCCAGAGGGCGCCCGGAAAAATTCGCGCGGCTTCCGGGGCAAATTCACATTTGGATTTGGAAAAATCCTGGCAGAATTCACTCGAGAATCCGGGATAGTGTTCCCAGGCGGCCGTGGAAAAAATCCCACCAGCCACGCAGAGCGTGGGCGGTGGTTTAACGGGCTAGCTTATCCGCGCGTTTCTCCCTGGCAGGGACGGGGATCCCCCCCCTGCCCTCTCGTCCCCGGGCGTGGGCAGAGAGTGGCCGCGGGGCGGTGGAGCGCCCGAAATGGCCGAAGATGGCTCCAAAGGAACCGCAGGCAACCCAAGAAGGATTCCGAGATCGCTCCATATACTTGCAGATGGTACAATTTTGCTTCCAATGCGCCTCCAAGCTCCCTCAAGACCGCTTCGTGACAGCCCGCAATTGTCTTTCGAGCTCTTGAAGGAGGCCTCCAACAGGTTCAATTCCTTTACAATCACTGCGCGCTTCAACTTTTTCCTTCTCGCCTTTTTGCTTTCCGTAGTTTCTAGAGGCCTCGAGATGGCTGCGAGTTGGTCTGAACTTGCTTTGAGAGGGGGCCATCAGGGCCCAAGTCGGCTCCAAGAGCACCAAGGAGCGGCCCAACACGCTTCAAGGGCGTCGCAAGAGGGCCGCATTTGGCGACTGGGGGGCTCGAGAAGGAATGGGGCGTTGCTAGGGCCCCACTTCTTTGACCGACGGCTTCAAGATGGCCCCAGGAGGACCCCCCAGGCTTCCAAGAGGGGCCCAGGAGATCCCCGAAACGACCCGAAGAGGGCCCCAAGGGGCTCCAAGACAGCCGCCAAAGGCAGCCATAATTGCCCTAAGAGAGCGCCGCGGCGGCACCGATATGACGACGTTGATGGGGCGTCCCGCAGGCACCTAAAGCGAACGACTCGAGATCCTCGATGATTGATGCCCGTCGTCGTCAGCGTGTTTTTTTTCCTTTCTATCCTTTATATGTTCCTTCCTTGTCCTCCTCCTCCTCCTCCTCGTCCCTCTTCTGTGACCTCCTCCTTTTTTTCTGCTCCTTCCCCGTTCCTGTGCATCTTCCGATTAATTACTCCTGCGCCCTTTCCTTGTCCCTAATGTAACGGTTGTCTTCGTTTTTTTCTTGCGTTGCATGTTGCTTCGCTTCGCTTTCATGCTTAGCGCAACTTGCTTGGGATTCGAGTCTGCAAATGCTTTCTTCTGCATGTTATTGCCCCTCCTATTTCCTCATACTTCCTCCTGCTCCTTGATCCTCCCACCTCTTCCTACACCCTCGCTGGTGAGGGCGCGCGCTTCACGCGCGTTCCGCGCGGATCACTGGTGCGCCTTTTGCCTCCCTCAGGCTTCTTGTGCTTCTTCCTACCTCCCCCGAGCTCCTTTTCCGCGCTCCTACC